TTTTTTTTTTTTTTTTTAATTTTTTTTTTTTTCCAACGTTTATTTATTTTTGGGACAGAGAGAGACAGAGCATGAACGGGGGAGGGGCAGAGAAAGAGGAAGACACAGAATCGGAAACAGGCTCCAGGCTCTGAGCCATCAGCCCAGAGCCTGACGCGGGGCTCGAACTCACGGACCGCGAGATCGTGACCTGGCTGAAGTCGGACGCTTAACCGACTACGCCACCCAGGCGCCCCTCTTTTTCCATTCTTAATCATTCTCTCCCTTACGTCCCCTTGCCTTCATACTGCCAATATTCTTTATTTTGATGGCCCTCTAGTTAGCATTTTTGATCTGAGAATCTACATAAAATTGGAATCCTCACTGGAATCAACATAAAATTCCAAAAGAAATCCATTAGTTATCCTCCTAATTTCAGTGTACCTGAGTTTATTACTTATGTCTGAGAATTTAATGTTTTATTTATTTATTTATTTATTTATTGAGAATGTAATGTTTTAATCTCTAAGTGTCTTATTGTTTCCAAAAGTACTGTTTTATTTCAATGTCATTATAGTGTAATAGGTTTCCCCCCCAAAATCTAGGGGTTTGAAAAGATTTAGAGAGATTAAAGAATTACACATTACCATTCTACTGTGTTCTTCCAAACTCACCCACCAATTACTTTTCAAAAAGATACACTGCTTTTCCTCAATAACCTGGGCTACTGGACTCCACGGAAAGTACAACATAGTAAACTCGATGCCTTTAAGACACATCTCTCTGGTTAAAGAGCCTATCCTTTTAGTTTTTGAAAATATTTAGCAAGAAGTAAAAATAAATACAAGTGATGAATATTGTTAAAACTGTTACTAACTCAACCAAGTTTTGATTTATCCAAATGACTCAGGCCACGGAAGAAATCATCTGAAAAACCAAGTGTAGGACTCATAACCTAAGGGTCACAAATCCGCATGCCTCCCAGGGCAGCCAGGTATTAGGAATAAGTGCGGCAGGTAAGGCAGAAGACAATAGGGAGTGGAGGAGATTCTGGTAAAGCAGAGCACAAGTCTGTCTAAAGAGCTCAGTTCCCACTTGTTTCAGCTCATCACAGCTATGCAGGAATGTAGGCCCAGTGAGAAAACAGCCTGGAATCTTTCAAGAGACTCTGGAAGTTCAAAGTTTTATGTGAAATTTTCCAACTTTTAATTAATTCAAATTTAAAAGAAAACGTCATATGAGTGAGATAAAATACATATGTGGGCATGATTCTGCCTATGCACTAGGCTACTTAATCTTCACAGAGGAAGGAACTGTATCTGCTTTGATTCCCACTATAGCTCAGTGGGCCTGGCTCATGGTGAGCAAATGGGTTTTTGTCCAAAAAATGAATGGCTGTGTCATCATAAATTGAGTCTCAACGATATGAAAGAAGTAGCCACCTGGGGTGGTTGTTTATTAGTTAGATCTTACAACATCAACTGAGCTATATAGTAGGAGTTGGGTTGAATACCATTCATGAAATTATTTCTTCAACTGAACCTGTACTCCAAGATGAAACTTACACTGAACTGGCAAAGAGAGAAATTCAGCACCATCAGGTTTATTTTAGCCCCGAAAGGACACATGGAAAGAAGTGCTTCCCCCCACCGCCCCAGCAAGGTGAGGGTAAGCCTCAAATATCACCCAATGAGCATGTTACAGAAAGCCTCCAGTAAGATACAGTCAGGAATAAAGATGCTCCATGTCCCTGCCACAGGTATAAGAGTGTATTCTTTTTTTTTTAAACATAATTTATTGTCAAATTGGTTTCCACACAACACCCAGTGCTCATCCCAACAAGTGCCCTCCTCCCTGCCCATCATCCACTTTCCCCTCTTTCCCCCCCCACCATCTATTGTTAGTTTGTGAGTCCTTAAGAGTCTCTTATGGTTTGCCTCCCTCCATCTCTGTAACTTTTTTCCCCCTCCCCCATGGTCTTCTGTTACGTTTCTCAAGATCCACATATGAGTGAAAACATATGGTATCTGTCTTGCTCTGCCTGGCTTATTTCACTTAGCATAATACTCTCCAGTTCCATCCACATTGCTACAAAAGGCCAGATTTTATTCTTTCTCATTGCCAAGTAGTATTCCATTGTGTATATAAACCACAATTTCTTTATCCATTCATCAGTTGATGGACATTTAGGCTCTTTCCATAATTTGGCTATTGTTGAAAGTGCTTCCATAAACATTGGGGTACATGTGCCCCTATGCATCAGCACTCTTGTATCCCTTGGGGAGATTCATAGCAGTGCTATTGCTGGGTCATAGGGTAGTTCTATTTTTAATTTTTTGAGGAGCCTCCACACTGTTTTCCAGAGCGGCTGCACCAGTTTGCATTCCTACCAAGAGTGCAAGAGGGTTCCTGTTTCTCCACAACCTCACCAGTGTAAGAGTGTATTCTTAAGCATTGCCCTCTTTTACTCTTCTTGTCTCTTTATTTCATTTTATTGTTCTTGCTACTGTTATCATTACTCAAGTCCATAAATAGACATCGTATTAGGGCATTAAACAGAGAATTGTGCACACAGTTTAGGATCACTTGAGATTAAGACGTTGGGATGTTTTTGAGATAAATCATTTCAAGCTTAAATGGAATTGAGGTTAAATCTGGTTAAGTCTGGTCATAACTCAACATAAAGTTTACCCCTAGACTTCAGTCCTGGACTTTCAGCCCTCTGGCAAGGAGTGATCCCATCATGTGGCCAAGGGAACATGTCCACAGAAAGGAAATTAGAATAATCCCTGGGATACCCTTCTAACTCAAACACTACTTTTCCCTAAAATACTGAAGGCTTGAATCTGAATCTTCGCATACATTTTTTTCTGAAAATTTTTTTCCTAAAAGAAAAATACCATAAGTCATCACAATGTATCTAATACTTATGGATTGGATATTTTGTAATGGTGACACAAAATACAGTGGTAGCTTTCAAAACTATTAGACATTTTTTGATATATTCCTGAAATATGCTTTCTCAAGAATACTCTAAAATGTGATTTTTAATATGGCTATTTTCCATTTAAACAACAGGTAACTGTCTTTCCAAGGGATAATAATGAAAACATGCAAGCTTTTTTTTTTTAAGGTATTAGGTATAAAGTGGTCATGGTAAATATAACAAATTCATTTGCATGTAACTTCAAGTGCTGATGGAAGGGTTCTGCTGAAAAGAACAGGATCTGCTTAAGGCACTGTCCTTAGGTTATGATGGCAACAGACACACATAGCCAAGATGTCACGGGTGTTCTTCATTCTAGTGGAGCTTCAGGAATGCATTGTTTTTCTGTTTCCCCAAGTTAAGTTCAGAAGAACTATATTCCGGGTATATGTCTACAATGCCTGCCATTTTCTGACCCAGTTGCAATGTTTCTTTACCTGCAAATTTAAAAATATATATATATGTTTCCCTTCCCAATACACTGTATGTATGTTCCAAGGGGGACTTGTGCAAGACCCTCAAGTGTACTTTCCTTAGAAGTTAGCCAGTGCTTGACCATCATTTTCACTGTGCCTACCCATCAGTAGCTAAAGCATTCAAGAACTAGTCTTTCCTTCTTCTTTCCTTCTCACACTCTCTGCCTCTCTCTGTCTTTTTGAGTATAAGCTAAAATTCCATTCATGTTCTGCTTTAAAACAAAAACTTTCCCATAATTACTCCAGTTTATCTAAATGAATTGCTCTTGTGTTCCATCTTTATCCCAACAGAAGCTCACCTCCCACTGCCCCTGTGCTGCCTGGTTCTTGAGCTGTATCTTCCAGTCCTCAGTATTGGGATCTGCACAGTGATGCATAGTGAGGATGACGGGGCGGGTCAGCAGGGCTCCCGGAGGCCCACAGCTCACCACAGGGGTCAAGAGTGTCTGAGTGTCTTCCATGGGTGGCCTAGAAGAAGAGCAGAGATTGGCATGAGTGACATTTCCATAGCATGTATGTACTATGTATTCATTGAGATTTTAGATCTGAAGTTGTGCAAATTGTTTCTTCTTGGGATTTTTGCGGGGGTGGGGGAGGGTGCAGGGGCAGAATTATATGGGAAGACATGTCCTTTATACCAATACTTTCATCTTCAAGACTGGAGAAATTTATGATAACAGTGAATTTGCCAGTGTCTCTTTGATCCCCTTCCCCCAGACACAGACAGACCTGCCTTTGGTAATTTTCTTTGAATTCATGTGCAGATACTTTCAGGATGGAACACGAAGGAATAGAGTCCTTCTGAGGTTACACAACCATCCTTTCTTTTTTTTTTTTTTAATTAAAAATTTTATTTATTTATTTGAGAGAGAGAAGGAGCGAGAGAAAGAGAGGCAGGGCCAGAAAGAAGGGGAGAGAGAGAAGCCCAAGCAGGCTCTGTGCTGTCAGCTCAAAGCCCAATGTGGGGCTCAATACCATGAACTGTGAGATCATGATATGAGCTGAAATCAAGAGTCAGATGCTCAACTGACTGAGCCAGCCTGATGACCCCACAACCATCTTTTCTGATAATACTTGTCATTACTCTCACAGGGTTTTAAATACTTTTAATTATTTTTAGGACCTAACTTGAAAAATACTACAAAAAAAAAAAAATCACTTCAGAGTAAGGACACCCTAGAGCTAAATTTCTTCCAGATGACTTTCAGGGATAATTCAGGCTAGTAAAGCAGATTCATTCTTTCACATATGACCAGGCAGAATACAGAACTGTGTTCTATAGTTCTAGAATTTAAAATGAAATATTTTACTTTTATACTTCATACTCAGAGAATCGGGGTGGAAAGAACCTCAAAGATCTAATTTTTTTTTAATGTTTATTTATTTTTGAGAAAGAGACAGAGTGAGAGCAGCGGAGGGGCAGAGAGAGGGAGACACAGAATCTGAAGCAGGCTCCAGGCTCTGAGCTGTCAGCACAGAGCTCGACGCGGGGCTCGAGCTCACAGACTGAGATCATGACCTGAGCTGAAGTTCGACTCTTAGCTGACTGAGCCACCCAGGTGCCCCAAAGATCCAAATTCTTCATTTCCACATTTTTTTTTAACTTTCTTCAGTCATTTCCCTAACAAGATTGTAATCAACAAATAAATGGATAAATTAACCCAAAGCTGATATGTGAGCAAGTAGTCCCAAAGCATGGGGCAGACTGCCCAAAGTCTTAAAACTAACAAGTACTAGCATGGGGACTAACGCCAATGCCTTCTCAACACAATACTCAAAACTACTCTGTCAGAATAGTGTGGATAAGAGATCATGAGCTGAGTGTTTCAGAGGAGGCAGGACCCCTGGGGTCAACAAGCACCACCTTCCATACAAAGTAGGAGCCTCTCTACAATATGCTGGCTTGTGGCTGGTGCTGTAGACACATCCAAAATGGTACTCCACTACTATTGAGGGTCACCTCATATATTATCGATTCAAACCTACAAAACGTTCTTAGGAGAAATACAATTTGCCTTCCTGATCCTTCTTTCCACATATCTTTGGCCTGCTTTCTCTCCACTTCAGCATGAGAGCCTTTCAAATATTTAGATATTGCTATGATGCCTCTAGAAAGTCTTCTTTATTTTAGACCAAACATTCTCAGTTTTTTAACTTTAACTAGAAAAGCATGGTTTCCAGATATCTCCCTATATTTCTACCTTCATCGTTATATAGATGTCCATTGGTGTTCCTATGTCTTCACTAAAGTAAAGCATCTGGAAGTCAATATTATACTCAAGTAGGCAGCATAGCGGGGCTCCTATTTTCCTTGATTTGGAATACATAGTTATATCAATGCCTAACAAAATTGTTGCCTTAGGTTGTTTTCAATCAAATAATTATTTATAAATGTTATTGCAGGCTTGAGTTACAGAGGAAGATGGAGATAATATAAAGCATTTCCTTTGTAAAATGAGGCAATGAAGCCCCAAGGAGGTTAAGTTATTTGTTAAAGCTAACTACTCTGTGTATTCATAACATGAAAGGCTCTTAGGCTAAGTCTCTACAGTTTTGTGGTTGCAGCAATGGCTTTTGAACATATGTACAGAAATTTACATTTGGTTATTTAATTTCACCTTAACAGTTTCAGAGAAAATTTCAGGGTATGTATTTCTTAACACTGTCTTTTCTCCAAGTATAGACGATCTCTTCTAGTCTTTCATCCTCTGCAGAGCTGATTTGCCTGCCACTTATCTTCTCGTTCCAATCACTGTTGACATTGTAGTACAAGAATAGGGCACAGATAAAGACATTTTTAAACATACTACTTGAAACCTCTTTCTAGTCTGACATCAATAATTTGAATTTTCTGGTTTAGCCAAATATAAACCAATTAAAATATACATTGTCCAGTTCACATCTTTCCATTCATTCACGTGGATATTATAAGGGACATATCAAATTCCTGTATAATTGTGATGGCCACTTGAGAAGGATTTTCCTTTAGGATTTTTTTCCTCATCTATGGTTAATCTATGAATATACCACACAATCTAGAAGTTAGCTTAAATCTATGGCCTACCCTAATTTAACACTCAATGAATGACAACAGCTGTTTGATATTTTTATATACAAATATATATACATCTTTAATTTATAATATACATATTTTATATACTGTTGGAAGACAGGTCTCCATGGATCTTTCATGTTCCTGCATGTCTCTTCAAGGCGATTGCATAGCAATCACCTTGGAAGGCAACGATAGTGCTGGTCTCTGGAGTACAAGGCAACCACATCCACTTCCCATTATAAAAAAACCCATGTTCTCCAAGCTCAGAGGTCCTTCCTGGAAGGCACCCACTGAGTGTGTGCAGATCATCTGACCCTCTCTGGCACTGGGGTTTTGTGAACTGGCACCAAAATGACAAAACTCTGGACAGTGTTATTGCTGTAACAAACTGTCCTTTGTCTCTGGCCCAGAAGTACTGTGTCATCTATCAACATCCACCAGACTGTGGCAGCCAAGGTAGCGTCAAATCTTAGAGTCCTTAGCTTCTGACAAGTATTATCCTCAGTTCTAAGAACTCAATTATAGTTTGACATATTTTCTCCTTAATAAAACTGGGCTATCCCTCCCTCCTCTCATTCTAAAATGTCATTAGGATCTCACCAACTTAAGGGTTTTCTTTCTTCCTATTTAGAAAGTAAAAGCAACTTTTATCTCCTTTGTCTTTTAACATCATCTCCATCCTCACTGAATAACAGCACATTTTTATTGAATCTAAAGTTATCCAAGTACTTGGAAATGTACTTTTGGGAATAATAAGGTTATTGGCAGCTTGAGAAGTCTTTATCATCCGCTTCATCCCTTAGTTTTCATTTCCTCTTAACCCAGTTTTTCTTCTTTCATTCCAGTCTGAAATTCATTTTCTTAGTACATGAGTGACGTTTTGGTTTCATTGTGGCATAGCTGATATTATACTATCGGTCCTAAGCGATAACCTTACGCTTGCTAATTCTACTTTTCCTACCATGGCAACAAAATAACACAACCAAAACAAAAAACGGTGACTACATTTTCGCGAGCACAACTCTTACCTTTTGGTCACAAGTATACCTTGAGAAGTGGGCATTAAACTTTTAAGGAAGGAGACTTAAGTGGAATCCATTTCAAGTGGTCCTTGCTATATAGTTGGAGATTGGAAACATCTGCCCCTCAGTCTGCTGTTAGCAGCCGGTGCTTGAGGCAGAAAGAGGAGGGGTTCTTCTCATCACTGAGTTGGAACAGAAGGGAGAAACCTCCCTGCTGGGTTGGGGAGCTGTCAGACCTGTACTCTCCAAGCACACCCCTGGCATGCAATATTGATGGGCACCATTCTTGAGGGAGGGATAGCAAGGGAAGGAAGGGGCACTAGGTGTCAAAAGAATTTATTAACCCAGTGAGGTGCAAGAATGTAATGAATAGGGAAGTGGTGAAGCGGAATCCATAACAGGGAATGAAAAACAAAGAAGAAATAATGATAAGAATCTTTTCGTTTTCAAGATGAAAGAAGTGGTGTTGAAATTGGAAACATTTCCAAGCCTATATGGAAGGAGTGATTGAGGGAAGATTAAGATTTAACTCTGTGGAGTGATTGAGGGAAGATTAAGATTTAACTCTGTGAAACCAAAGGTCAGAGTGTTTAAATCCACATTAAGCACGAATATTACAATACATAAAACAAAGCTAGTAGAAATTAAATATAAATACGCCTGATCCATGTTTTTTTGCAACGGGCTTCACTCCTATATGTCTCATGAGTTATCTGAGATATTTAGTAAACATTCTATAAATATTAACGGCAGATGACATGGAAATGAGCACAAAGCAAAAATTAGCTGCAGAAGCAGCAATTAAGTAGAAATTTAGTAATGAACAATAATTAAGTTTCAAAGGCTTTTCAAAGTCCAGTGAGGATACTATCATAGGAAATGCTGGATGGGTTCTGAAGCCTCTAGGACAAAGCCCTCAGAGAAGTGTTTTAGTTTCCTGTCAGATTTTCTCATCCTTTGCTTGCTGTTATCCGTGAGGAGAACTTCTCCTACACAGAAGTGCACAATTTAGAAAACTTTCATAAAAGCAATTGCATTTGCTGCTCATGGCACACCTGCAAGGGAATCAGGATAAGTATGTGTATTACTTCTTTTTCCACAAGAGAAAAATTGAAATCTGGAGACATTCACACACTTGCCTACGGACTCAAAACTAGTAACAGGCAAAGCTAGATTTCAAACACAAGTGATTTGGTTTCTTTCACACAGTGGTATATTTTGGGTTACTTATCAGGGTTCAGGGCCTTGAGACTTTTTTTGGTCTATTTGCAAGAGCAAGCCTAAAATTACTTCTTGAAGAGAATCTGTCTCCATCCACCTCTGTGTGGAGACAAGATGCTTTCTAGTAACATACATGTCTTTTGTCAGGTCCCTCAGGATGACAATCCCAC